CAACAGTTATGGAATCCCTTAATCTGAGATTCTTCTGTGCTGCTGCCTCCACCTTTAAATACAATTCATCAAGAGTTTGATTGCACAGTGAATTATTTTGGTTTTCCCTTAAGAGTGAGTGAGAATAAAGTGATTATCTCTGTTCAACACACACAAAAAAAAAACCCACATTGAAAGTAAACCACAGGGTGCCACATAATCTGTTTCTAAAAAGATACATAGTAGGAGTATTTCTGGGTATTATATTGTAGAGAACATTTAGATAAGCACAGGAGATAAAACATTCTCCAACTTATAAAGCTAAGTTTTAAACTAAAAAGGGTTTATTTTTCTTCTTCTCTGTGTTTTGGAGAAGGGAAAGGAAATTTAATTATACAGGGTTGTTGCTTTATTTTATGTAAACTCATGTAAGGTCTTGCATGCATTACCACAAGTGACCACTAAAGTAAATAAAATCAGAGATTCATAGAATGTATTGCGTTGGAAGGGACCTATAAAGGCCATCTAGTCCAAGCCCCCTGCAATAAGCAGGGACATCTCCAACTAGAACAGATTGCTCAGAGCCCCATCAAGCCTGACCTTGAATGTCTCCAGGGATGGGGCCTCCACCACCTCTCTAGGCAACCTGTTCCAGTGATCCACCACCCTCATATTAAAGAATTTTTTCCTAATGTCCAACCTAAATCTAACCTTTTCTAGCTTGAAACAATTACCCCTTGTCTTATCATTGCATGCCCTTGTGAACAGTTATTCCCCAGCCTTCCTCCAGGCCCCTTTCAGGTATTGGAAGGTCACTATAAGGTCCCCCCAGAGTCTTCTCTTCTTCAGGTTGCACAACCCCAACTCCCTCATCTTATCTTCATGAGAGAGGTGCTCCAGCCCTCAGATCATTTTTGTTGCCCTCCTCTGGACACGCTCCAACAGGTCCACATCCTTCCTGTGTTTGGGGCACCAAAGCTGGATGCAGTACTGCAGGTGAGGTCTCACCAGGGCAGAGCAGAGGGGCAGAATCACCTCTATCTATCTGCTGGACACACTCCTTTTGATACAGCCCAGGATGCAGTTGGCCTTCTGGGCTGCAACTGCACATTGGTGGCTCATGTCCAGCTTTTCAACCACTAGTACCCCCAGGTCCTTTTCCACAGGTTTGCTCTCTAGCATGTCTTTCCCCAGCCTGTACTGGTACCTCTGGTTGCCCTGGCCCAGGTGCAGGACCCTGCACTTGGCCTTGTTGAACCTCATTACGTTCACCTGGGTCCACTTCTCTAGCTTGTTCAGGTGCCTCTGGATGACAGTTTCAGGAAGAACAGAAGTACACAAATAAGCCCATGCATAGTTGGGAGAATTATATCCTATTCCAAGAAAGGAAGAATGGTTTGTATTACTGCATGAACACAAAACTTAGTACCTGCAGGTTATAGCCTATTTTAATCGTATTTATGAACACATGAAAATAACAAGCACTCCCTCTAGTGAACTTTTGTGGGATTCGGTGTTAGGACTACTGAGGTTACAGATGAGAAAGTTTATAGGCAAAAGTGATACCTGTTATTAGACTGCCTGTTGAAGTCAGGAAAAGGTACAAGCTTTTAGACACACTGAATCATTTTTAAGGTCGGTAGTGCAATGTATTTGTCAGAGTAGGGAAGAGACAATGTCTTACAGTAAAAACCAGATTTACAGACACTGTTGCACTTGCATACTGTCCCTTACTGATGGTGACTTTGCCTGTTAATCCTTTCCTCTCTTTGGTAGGTGTGATATCCTTGCTTTACTGACAGTATTTCACACTCTGAAACCGGAAGGGAGACATTTCATTTACTCACGTAACAATAAAAACAACGTAGCTGCCCAACACAGAGGACTGCATTTCAACAGAGATGCTGTTTGCCCTTGCAACACTGCAGTACTGATGCTTGATTACACTTTTGAGAAGTTATGTACATTATTACTACTTCTTCTCACCTATATGTTTCTACAATATTTTAAAATGTAATGCTTGAAGGTGTTTTTTTGTTGTTGTTGTTGGTTTTTTTTTTCAATTTTGAGCATATCAGAAAAGTAATCTATGAAAACTGTTACAGTTGTGGCGGATGTCATAGAATCATAGAACTATTCAGGTTGGAAAAGACCCTTGGGATCACTGAGTCCAACCATCATCCCTACTCTACAAAGTTCTCCCCTAAACCAGATCCACCAACACCACATCCAAACGACCCTTAAACACATCCAGGGATGGTGACTCCACCACCTCCTTGGGCAGCCTGTCCCAGTGTCTAACCACTCTTTCTGTGAAAAAAGAATTTCCTAATGTCCAGTCTAAACCTCCCCTGGTGCAGCTTGAAGCCCTTCCCTCTTGTTCTGTCACTAATTACCTGTGAGAAGAGACCAGCACCGAACTCTCTACAATGACCTTTCAGGTAGTTGTAGAGACTGATGAGGTCTCTCCTCAGCCTCCTCTTTCTCAGACTAAACATTCCCAGCTCCTTCAAGAGTTCTTCACGTTTTGAAACTTTTCAGAGCACTGATTTGTTCTTTTAATTTAGAAATACAGAATATTTCTTTCTGGCACAGTCTCAGGGGTGTGGAGCTATCAACATGCATGGGATTAAAAACCTTTGCCACAGGAAGTGTTGCATTGCCCTGCTACTGAAACGCTCTGGAACATTAACTGCTTTGCATGCTCCCAAGTGTGAGTTTGTAGGAGAAGGTGTGACATATCATGCAGGGGCCCCCAGACAACAAAGCACAACCTATTTCAAACTGTTGCATGCTAGCAGTTGTTCCCAGTTCTGCCTTTACTCTAGTACCCAACTAAACCATAAAAGAAATGGAGTAGACCCAGCAGTTACCAGCACCTGCGATGTGAAATGGCACCTCTGCACAACAGCCATAGTCTCACTGCAACTGCTGCATTGATGGTGAGTGTTCTCATTGCTCCAGAATCATTATTTCCACACAATGGTGAGCACCAGCCCAACACTGATGGCTACTGCAGTCCTGTTTTCTCAAGTGGTGGGAGTTTTCCCAAGGTGGGACCTGGTGCCTGTTTTAAAACAATGGAGTAGGGGCATGAAGGTGCTGGGTGAGGTGCTGGGTGAAGGCAGCAGCTGCAGGAGCAGCTCACAGCAGGGAATTCCAGGCGGGTGCATGTCACTGCAGCCCCAGGGTTGAAACCAGGGTTCTCTGAGAGCGTGGCAGAGTGTCTGGAGGGTGGTGGCCTTCTGTGCAGTCACAGCAACTTCTGCCCCCTTTGCCTCCAGCAAACCCCAGTAGGAGGCAAATGGTGGAGCTACAATGAGAAGCTCTGACGTGTTATCTGCAAAGCAGTGGAAGATCACTTAAGAACTGTGCTTGAGAACCTGCAGGCCTATCTAGTATTTGCCTCCTTTGTACAGTGGGCAAAGCAGGTATAAAAAGTGAGCAAACACAAAATAGACAACTGTCTCCTGTGCCCACTACTGCAATTTAACACCCTTTTTTTCACTGCTATAAACTGCAGACTAGTGCAGGATAATAGGACATTCAAAAGATGTGCTTTGGTATGCCTTAAGTATTTATTGGTGAACAATTACGTAAAGACACATTGATACTGGATACTGAGAACACCAAGAATATCATCCTGTTAAAGACCCAGCCCTCTGAGTTCAGGTGTTCAGCTGAGTTCAGCTGTGTTCCTCTGAGTTCAGCTGCTAGCGACCTGTAAACTAGAAACAGGATTCAGCTTCCTGGCATAGGGGCTTAGGGCCTGTCAAGATTCTCTAGGGTACTGGAGATGTCAGCTAAGGTGCAGTAGGTTCAGCCCAAGATCTGAGAAACCTGCACCCTCCTAGACCGGCAGACGAAAGCCAAGCAGGACCCAGACTCCACAGCCCCTAAGATGACCCTGAATGCTTAATTCAGTTGCCTGACTCACCTGCCTACTGCCCTTTGGGATGCTGTGGGCTACCCAGCATAACCTCCAGCTGACAGTGGAGTCAGGTTTCCTGCAGGTCCTGCTGCATTTTCTCCAGACCTGTGTGTGTACCTGGGCTGTGTTTCAGCACAGCCAACAGCATCAGTCTCTCCTGTTCATGTTGTCCCACAGAACAGCCCGGGCTGGAAGGGATGGTAAAGACCATCTAGTCCCAGGGCCACTTCCAGGGGCAGGGACCCCTCCCACCAGCCCAGGCTGCTCAGAGCCCCATCCAACCCGGCCCTGAGCACTTCCAGGGATGCAGCATCCACAGCATCTCCGGGCAACGCGCCCCACCACCCGCACAGGGAAGAATTTCTTCGTCACCCCCAACCCCAACCCACCCTCCTTCAGCCCTCC